AAAAAGTTACTACTACTCGCATAGCAACGGCTCAAGTTAGATGACCTTTTCACAAAATTCGATCCTGTATAGTAGTGAAAATATATCATCAGCTGACAAAAGTTGAAACCGCGTTGACCTCACTTGCCAACTTTTAATATCATTATTAGTTTGCTTATGAAAAGTGACACTTGTTCACATACGGGTACTAATTATGCACAATATAATTTGTTAGGTTATCATCTAGCTAACGTGTTAATGTATTTAACGTGTGTATTTGTTAGTGTAAATTTGAGGGTAACATACATGTTTTGCGCTGTTTAATAACGGACAAAAAATTTTATCTCGAGCCTGTTTGATTTTAAATATTACACACCTATAGATACCTATTAGACACTGCAATAGTATTCGTATAATCCACCCCATCTGTACCCCAAGGGTAAAAACGAGCATCCGGTCGTTGTTCCCCATTGTACTGTATTTCTCACGTTTCGATTCTCACCATTATACAGACACACGTATCACACAGCCACTGCAGTAACAACAACAGCTAGTACGATCAGTTGTGGTGATAATGTTATTGAAGCGAACCAGCAGAGTAGAACGGCCGTCATTTCGCGTCTGATTATTGGCGCAACATAAAGTAGTAGTAATGTAACCACGTAGATACGTATAATTGCAGACCAGAAGCACAATGAGATCGGACGCATTGGTATTTGTTAACAGAAAAATAATTATTTTCTTATTGGTATCCATCACGAGGAAGTAATACAAGAGAAAGCCCAAATAGTGGTCAATTGGGTGCAAAATGCGCGCCGCCGTGAAAACGAGAGAAAGGTCTGACCGGTTGGAAATAATAACACTCTGTTATGTCAATACACGTTGTCGAAAAATTATGATTCACCGCTAGTAGCAGTACACTCGTATTAAATTTTGCGTGCAATTCTTTTTACCGAGTCCATTTTTCATACACACTTCATATCAGCTGTTGTCTCGGGTTTCTCGTGAGTCATACACGAGTCAGGTGCTTCACGGTCGTCCGGTGTCGTGTCGCGAAATCCTCATCCGGGTGGGCGTTTCTACCGGACCAAGTCATTCGACACCTTGGGCTTCACGCACGAGTCTTTACTGCTGCGCCCCTTCGTTCACAAATCAAACTAATTATGTCCACCGCTTGCTTAAGAAACCCTAGCAATATGTGGGTGGTCAATGATTTACCCTTAAGTATTAAATACGGGCATTTAAGGTTTCTTTGCCCACTATAATTTTTTCGATATTTTTTTTACACCAGGAAAATACTTAATTACTTTACTATAATTTTCGTTCAGAGCAGTTTTAAACGTTAACCTTCAAAAGAGAAGTTCGCGTTATTGTTGAAAGATTGTGGTGATGGTAACCATTATTACTGGTCGTGAAAACTAGGTGTACCAAAATAAATCTTAAATCACGTTGTAAACTGATTTATCTGCATAAAGAAACTGTGCCATTGAAATTCCTATGGGACCCAAAGGCTCTGGATTATCACAATGTTTTATGTCCAAATCATTGGGTAATCATGAGCAGTAATTTTAACGGTTGAACTGTCCACTGAGTGTTTTATTGATCTATCTAAAACTACAGATTTTTGTGCGCGTTAAAAGATTCATGCTACGGAATAATCTTTTTACAATTTGTTTACCATTTCTGTTAAAATACTATGACATGCATTTGACGTTTCTCAGAATATTTTAACATCAAAGAGTAGTCTTTAAAACGTTAATTTATATACTTATTTGCCAAGACACTAATGTGGCGTATAGTAATATGTATTGAAGATTTAGTTTCAAATAATAAATTCGAGTACTATTCCACTGGAACTTTTTGGCAACTGCTCGCGAGTTTTATTCGGATTATTACGCTACAGCTTAACTCGCATAGTCAAGTTCACTTATCTTGAACGATTTTCAAAATCAAATGAATTGAGTTTTTTTCTAATTCAAAAATTGTAAATGTAAATGGAATGTTGTGTTTATATTTTAAGTTCAGTCCTTTTGTAAAAAAAAAAAAAAAATCAAGTGAAAAACAAGAAATTCAACAGAAATTCATGTTTTCAATATAATCGAAGCCTAAAACCTTAAGGAACGTTTTTGTTTACTTTTCTATATAACGTGTTGTTTTCGTGTTTTGTATTTCATTGTGTGAAACAGCTACTTCTCTAATCATAACAAAAACCGACCGGCGTTAAATGCAAGCGCTTATGGAACGATATAAAAATGTATTCCTACAAGGATCGTTGAACCTGGTCGCACTCAATTTACTCTCCGTTTGCCTAAAACTAAATATAAATATATCACGGCCATGTTGGAAATATACCGTATTCTGGAGCTATTGACAACTCTAGTGAAATGCGCACACTTTGACGGGTGGCAGGTGTGGTAATGGATCCGAGTTCATTTTCCCCACTCCGAGGGAGGTCGAGTAAAAGCACTTTACCGAGTTCGTGGAGATTCTTAAACATCGCATTACTCTATAGATTTATATATATAAGATTTATGCAAAGGACCTACGCTGTTAAAGCTGGCTATGCATAAATCATTTAAAAGGCGCTTATAGTATTTTCGTATTCACTTCCCAGATGTTTTCTATTGAGACAATATTATAAAAACCTTCTCTTTCGTCCTCGTTGTTCTCGCCGTACACGATATAAATATTATTTAGCTCTTCTCTCCTTCCTTCTCCTTGATACGCATAATAATCCGACGACAACACAACATTTCATAAGCTAAAACGGTTCTCATTGTACAGTTCTTTATATGATATATAGTCTAGTGCGTTGTTACGGGCGATGGACATTGTAAGACTTTTCAAACAAAGACACAAATTAAAACAGCCCCATTTGATAACAATATAAAAAAGGCGTTGAGTAATCGTATAGTGGGCGACCGTCTCAGAAAATAATAATTATTGGCGAACAACGACATCGCCTTCACTCGTACGAGATGTTCATGATAGTCCTCTGGCGACTATAACGTGACGATTACATGCAATTTTACGTGCCTATGAATTATTCAACGTCCTCACGAGTTAGACGTTTGTGTCTTTCACATTTTCATCCAACACATTACCCCTTGAATTTCCCACCGTATTTTACTGCAGGATTTTTTATTGTATGCTGAGGCATTTAAATTTCAAAAGGTCGTTATGTACAAAAGGGTTTTGCAAAATAGCGGTTTAAAAATGCGTATGGGCGCCAAAAAGACATGAACTCCAAAAGATTTCCGTTTAACACTAGCTGCCTTTTTAATCCATTAGAGAAGCACAATATTCTGGTTATAATATAATAGAACAGGGGACATTTTTAGGGTGTGTTGCAAGCCAATAGAATTAAAATCAAGAAGATTGAATTTAAACACAACAAACACGTGTTGTAGTAGATGTAAATATTTTTCGGTCATCGCTTATTAAAATATTTTTCCCAAGATACGTTATACATTCGACTATTTGACCGTAAATAATTTTTCGTCTAAATTTCGACAAACAATATGTATTATATATTAATGAGTAATAAATGTTTTGTAAATTACTATTTATTTTCAACGCTGTCAGAAAATATCATACCGTAAAAATATATGCACATATATTTCACATGACTGATGGTTAGATTAAAAAAAAAACCTCAAGCGTTTTTTCATAATTAAAACTAAAATAATGAGCATACCAAATCAAAATTCAATCACGTGATGGAATTATTCATGCAGTAAAAAATTAGAAAAATAATTACGCACTTTATCCCTTTTCTATTTTGATATTGACTTACTTATATTTTACTTGAAAGAGGAGAGTACTGTCCTGTCATCTGACATTTATTCTTAATTTATATTATGATTTTTTAGATTTTAAACGTAAAATGTTTATTTTTATTGAATTAGTAATTTATGTTGTTTTGCCAATTAAAAATATATACAAATTCAGTAATATTTTTTTTTGTTCAAGTGTTTACTTAAAAGAAATAAATTCAAACTACGAAATATTATACGGGATGTAAGCTTAAGTTCTTACATTTAAAATAAAAACGAGTATTAAAAACTGAATTATCATAAGTAGCATTATCTTTAGGTCGCTGAAATTAATGATGTACCCGACAAAAATGTATTTCCTGTTTCAAGCACCAATGAGAATGATGCAAACAATAAGCTTATAATTAACCTGGTGCTTTATCCAGTAGAAAATCCTAGTACCTAAATTTCCTGTGTGACGTACAGGAAACTAAGCTCACGGTCTGGTAGTCCACTGCATTAGTGCACCTAGATAAGTGCACGCTTTATATTACTTTGTTATCTTGGGTCTGTACATTCCCATAGTTATTTAATACCAGTAAAAAACAAGAAAACTGACATTTTAAGTCTTCTAAAAAAATCCAGCTAAGTCGTTTGCATTAAAATATTCAGGTTAATGACCTTATTGTTATGGAAGAGTTTCCATAAAAAAAACTTTTTCCGAAATGTTAAATACACGTCGCTCTTGTCAAAGCTAAAAAGGCTCATTTTAGTTATAAATGCAGTTTTAATGAGCAAAACGTAATTTTCTATTTTTTAACTATTATTCGAGTCTGAATAGGATTTTTGAATGGTCGTATCTTCATATATTCACTCTTTAGATGGTTGTTTTTAACAATGCCTAGAGCTATGTTATAATATTTATTATGTACGATGTGTACAGCCGCATAACAATCAAACGGCATTGTCAAGCCAAGTACGAATCATTTATATGTTTACAGTTAGATCAATTTCCCAATTTTTTCGCATAAGTATATGATAATAATATTAGGTTATAATGTGCAGGGCACGTTTCAAGGTTTTATCATCGTCTTTTCCTGCGTAAAACATAAGAACCGCTGCCAATGAAAGAATTTCTTGGTAAAAATATTACTTAAGATAATGCTTTGGTGCGAGCCAAATCGTTTTTTTAGATTTAAGCCGAATACATTATAGTTTGATATAAAATCAAGTCATACGCTAACAAAATTGTGTTTTCTGTTACAGACGTCTAGAGAGGATAAATCGACAACGGGTGCAGTACCACCTCCGGAATTACCGGCGGGAAATGGATCCCGTGAACTCCTGGAGGAGACGTTGAAAGGTCCTCGGCCTTATCCAAATATCGTTCTACCCACAAGCGGAGGTTTCTGGATAGATGGCCAGGACCAAAACGATTATGAAGCTACGGGTGCCAGTGGCCCCAGTACGTGGAATAACAAAATTGAAACCGATGACACGGCTAAAGCATATCGCAGATACTTCATGGGGAGGGTAAGCACTAAATTTGCTTAATATAATCATTCCGAAATTCGTAATAAGATTAAACTGATGGTGGTTGGTGTACATCTTATCCTAACGCGGGCCTCTCGACTTCTCTTACGCTATAATTACATTATGCGAACTACCGTATACTCAATACAGCTTCAGTATTATAATTTACAACGAAAACGATAAATTGTACTGTGCTCAACATGAGCAGAACCAGTAGAATATCAAAGTAATTATAATGAACTTTGTTTAGCTTCCCCTCGTGCCATCAGTTTAATCACAGGTAATATTATTTTGTTAATTATTTTGGACAAAGAAATCATAAAAGACAAAAATTACTTTAAAACTATGTAGTGTTGATGTGACTTTGTTTATAATGACAACATAGCCTTTGATTATCTTCCTTGAATCGTTAACTAAATAATAGTTTTCGGGTTACCGTAAGTGCTGTAATACCCACGTATTCTTTATTAAGTTAAAACAAAAATTTTCATTTTTTCTTTGTACCTCAAATGTATTAAAGAAGGATTAAAAAGAAAAGATTCATTTTGTTCAAAGTATGGAGAATTAGTTTTTGCTTTAAACAAAACGCTCTCATTCAATATTTTTGTGGGTCAAATAAGGTTTTCTTTCATACTATTTTCTTATTCGTTTATTTACCTACGGCGTATTAAAAGTACGTGTATTCAGTTTTAATATTGTGTTATTTTATTCACAACTACGTGCCAGTAAGAAAATCGATGTCATCCTTCGTTCATATTTTATTATCTGGTATTTTCTTATCGTGGCTTTACCGTTATTGGAAATCCTGTCGTGACCCTAGACGATTACGAAAGGGTTTAGTTGAATTGCGTGTTACAGCTATAAAATTTTATCGGTAGTGTAATTTACTGCATCAGGTACTCCTTTGAATAAATTTATGCGGCCGTTATGCTTAACAAAATTTCAGATAAATTTCACATTTGTCTTGATCATATTTTGACGGTTGTGCAATAGTTTTTTAATAATTGTTTTCACGCTATCTAAACAGAGCCCGAGTAATCTCTAGTGGTTAGCGTATAATGACAATGTGATTATTTTAATTGTCTAACCTACTTATACCCAGACGAGTATTAGACAACATTGTTAGACAATTTTACGATCATTGTCTAGTACATGGATTGTCTTTTAAACAATTTTTTTGTGATGAGTATATTACCAAACTACAAGAAGTGGATGACCTCACAAATTGTCAGGTCTATTAGCAGTAGCTGTCGAGGTGATCTTGCCGTGATAACTATAAAATTAACAAACAATAAAACTTACACAAGCATCGGGTGCGCATTAAATCAGTCTCGCTGATAGCCGTTTTACACCATTAAAGCATATTTCAATGATAGTATATCATTATTTCGTTTAGGTTTTGTTGCGCTTCAAATAGTAATTATAACTTGTGTTGTTGCTATTTGAATTCGGTTTAGTTATTTTCAAATAATACGTTGAACGAATTACACGATACTCAAATCAGCAAAAGCGTGTTCAAAACTCTATTCGTGGGAAAATGGTTAATCATACACTTGAATAAAAGCTCAAATTTCTGAATTAAATCAGCTATTTATTTAAAAAATCTATTATTGTGTTCTATAATGTTTTACTTTGGTGTTCACAATTCCATTATGTCTGCTTTTTGTATCTTTTTTGAGTGCAATATGCATTTATAATGTTTGTAATAACGTTCTAGTACGCCTACTGTCGTAGTTTAATATAAACAACAGCTGCAGTATGCACATTCATTCAACCTTGGAAATATAATATTTTTTACACCGTTTTATAGCGCAGAGGTATCTCGTAACAATTACCATCCCACGCCTATTTATTATTTATAGATGTATATTGAATTGTTGATAGCTTATTTTTTCTAGTTAGTGACTATCAGAACTTTTTAATACTTACGTTTTGTGAGTGGTTTTATCATCGGTTTTTTATCATACTAATAAAGAAGGGTTATTATTTTCTACGTGCTTCTAAACTATTACACTTCGTTTTTGCTTTTGGTTTGTCTCTTGCGCTGATAGGTTACATTGTTTTTTACTGTGGCTAGGTTAATTAGAAATTGTTGTTGGTCGTGAGTGAATAACGAGGTATTTACGATTTATAATTATATCTTGATAATCGCAAACACAATTCAACGTTATCCGTAATTCAAATCTAGAAAATGTTTATAACAACACCAAAAACATGACCAATTTAAGTTCTTTTGCGGTTTCTTACAGTTAGCCACGGTATTTGAATTACTATTGTAATTTAGTTGGTGTAACATTTCTAACAATCTCGTCAGAGAACTAGTCACTAATATTTTTCTATTAGTGGCTAATGAACATGTGAAATTAAGAATTATATTCTTGTAACTCTACCACAATTTATCAGATAACATTTGATGTTATAATTATTTTGTTTCTAAACTAAAATTATAGAAACAAAATGTTCATCGATGTAATAACACATTTAAATGTTTTATAACTATTTTAGTAGTAATTGAAAAGAAATAATAACAATTTTTTACTCATTGTTAATTAAGTAAATATGAGTAGTTATATAATGAATGTAATATATTTATCAAAAAAGTAAAACTATTAAGATAACTTTTTATGTGACGTGAAACTGAAGAATCACAACATTAAGTTAATAAAAAAAAAGTTCCTGGTACATGATTAAAGACAACTATATTTCGCGAAACTAACTGAATTCTGCATACTCTGTAAAATCCATTAAAAACTCAACCGCCATTCTCATTTTTAAATTAATGATGTCATTAAAAATGTAAAAAGCATTTTGGTCAACAAGTAACGAACTAGTTACATTCAATTTTTGTGTAAACCTTTGTAAAAAGTCGATGTTTTTAATTATTTACGAAAATATTTTTTTTTTTTTTGCTTTTACGTTGTTGGTATGATTAACTATTATTTCGCCTTAAGTATATATAGTTTTTGCGTGCTTTTGGTAGTTATTTGGGACTCTATAATTAGGTCATAAAAACCTATTTAAAAACAACCATTAGATATTACGCACAATGGAAAAACCGCTACTTTTCTTCTAATGGGTAAACTTTTTTTTATATACGTGTTACTCATTTTGAGTTAAAATGGCCAAATAGTATATAAATCTTGCTGTGGTCCCACAAACAAAGATCTATAAAAAACATTATCGATCATGTTACAAAACATTTGATGTGCACTGTATATATAAGTCACGTTTTCAGCACAATGGAGCACAATTGATCAGGTTTTCGACGAATTGTCTTCTTTATAAAATGGTGTTACACCTGACGACAGTTTTTCGACGGTTACGCATTTGAACACGAGTGGGCGGATGTTCTATTTCCGGCATAAGCACAGGGTAGTTATGAATGTTGAACATACATTATGGTTGAAGACAGGTGGTTGGATGACAGCAGGTAAAGGGAGAAATATACCATTTCATCTAAAAACGTGCTCGTTGCTCAATTCTTTTAGATTTTATGAAAAGCAAAAAGTATACACGTAAAGCAGCTGTCTCCCTTTAATTTCCACCTGCAATATGATGAGGGTTAAATGAAACAATAATTTTGTACAATGATAAACAAAGTTCTTTTCAAAATAATGTGCATAAAATGTATTTCTTTCTGTTTTCTTTGGAATTTTTGTTTATGTATTTTGTAAAAGCAAAACAAATGTCCACTAAATGTTTGATGCCTTAGTATTGATCGAGTCTTCAGTTGCGATTGGGAAAATTGAATGAAAAACACTTAAATTAATGAATGACCCAAAGTAATATTGCTCAAAAAGAAATGAAACCGAACAAATGTCTTTGATTATTAAAAATTATCAAAGACTTTTAATAGAGTAAAATTACTTGAAGTGACCTTTAATATCTACATTTATATACAATTACTAACGCGGATTTCTTTATGTACCATATTTAAATATCATCATAAAATTTAATTAATTAAATTAATCTTAAAACAATTATGAGTGTTTGAATATCGTCAAAACTACAACAGTGTTCTGTTTTCGTTCATATATTTATTTCTCTTTCATTAGCGTTTAATTAATTAAAACATATTTTGTGACAACTGATCTTGATTATCAGCGCTATGGTTGTCATACTTTTTTATTTGTTAACTTGCGCTGAGTGACATTTCTATTAGTATTTTTATACCTATTATTATCATATTAGACACATTTTATTACGCAAAACAATTGTAATAAAAATATTACTTACAACAATGGGGTTTCTCATAGAGTTTTTAAATATACTATATCTTTTCAATGTCCATGTAACATAACTTTATTATTATTGTGTCCAGACTTTCTTTTTGGAAAATTCTCATCAAAAACATCTCATTATTTATTTCGGGTTTCGAGGGAAACCTTCATGATGATTATGCAAATAATCTACCTTTATTTATTTGAGCGTAATTTATAGACTAAAAAAACTTTTTACTGGATGTTTTTCTATGAAAACATGTATTGACGAAAATCCAATAAGCTTTCATCACTAAGACTTAAATTTTTTTTTTTTTACTTTGAACATTCTACTGGGTTGTATAATTTTAATGGCGCGTCTTTAGCGTTAACTTATCTTTTTGGGTAGAAAACTACTCGTATATTAACATAATCATTAGTTGTAACATCTTGAGCTGTATAATTGATCAATTGTTCTTCCATTTGTTTTGTAATATGCATCTTTTGAATACAAAATAAATATTCCTTAACTGTTCAATAACAATGAAATATCCATATATTTTGAAAATTAAGGGTAAGTAAACGCACTTTACAAAAATAATGAAAGCAGAGTATTTTTACATTTTCACTGATAATTAAATAACGTGTTCAATTGATTTAAATTTTTAATTATATCTAACGTTGTACATTAGCATAATTCTTTCTTCGGTCAAATTTTTTATTTAAAAAATAAGAATACAGACAAAAACACACTTTTTTACGGTTATACAGTGGTCGCCACAATAAAATCTGACAGGCTAA